ATATAATATATATATAATATATATAATGTAATATATAATACATAATATCATATATGGGTCATATAACAATAAAACTTATTCTTATATCGTTACTTTAACTATTTTCATAAATAGTAAAAGGATTAATATCTTATTGACAAGACATATTAATATCAATATTTTATTATTTTTAATATTATGCGACTGGTACGTATCGTAGATAGATGCAATGACGGAAGAGCAAACTACATACCAGCAGATGCGAGAGAATAGTGTTAAATGTGCATTATGGTTAAAACAATCACTCTCTACAACTTTCATAATAACAATATGCACACGTCATAAAATGCTTGAATATATACCATTTTTGGCGAGTTTATACGTCGGTATTATTGTCAATACGTGGGATGAAAAGAACATGAAAGGTACATTGATTTTTTTCTAAAATTCAGCATAATTTATTTTAATGTTCACATATATCTGTATACCTTTTACTTACCGAATAATAAATCTTTTTAGATAAGATACGTGTTATGTACTTCCTGACGGAATATAAACCAAATATTATCTTTATCGATAATGACAATTATAGGCAACTCAATTCGGCTATTCAAAATATAAATAGCGAAAAAGAAAACATAAAACCTCCAAAAATCATAACTTTTGGTAGAATTGAAGGTGTCGATTCTCTAGAATCAATTCTGAACAACGATTTTGAAAAGAGCAAAATTGATGAATTTTCCTGCGAGCACATCAGCCCATCGAATCTTGTAGCGACAATGTTTTCTCCCAATGCAACAAATTATGTTGATAGTAAAGTACATATTCGTTACTTTGCATTAACATATCCATCGAACCAGGAGGTACCCGTAATGTCTTCCGGTGACATTGGTCTATGGTATGGATCTTTAAGTTGGAGTTACGGTGTGATCTTGACCGTACGTAGTATAATTTCGTATGTGACAGTGGTCAAGTGTTCGAAATTCAGCGATGAAAATATGTATGAAACGATAGAGAAGTACAAGGTAACATAAAAATAATCAAGTCTTGTGTGTGTGTACTTTGAAAATGAACGAAATATAAGATGGTTACATATGTTTCAGGTGTCGTGGGTATTTCTTGAAAGCAAGATGTGCAATCAAATGTATCATACTGATATCCGTATGTATAATATTTCTTCCTTAAAGCAATTGGTAATCGATGATTCAGCCATCAATTTCATTGATGTTCAAAAAAAACTCTGCAAGACATTTATAAACGTTTCTATCATTCAAGTATATAGTATGTACAATTTTAATCATTAATGATAGAAATACATTATCTGAAATTAATAATCATTACATTTTTAAGGTATAGCAGAATTATGCATAATTGCGGCTTATCAACGAAATAATCAACAATTCGGATCTAGCGGTTATGTGGCTAAAAATATTCAATTAATGGTTCTTGATATGGAATTGAAAGAACCAGTTAGTTCAAATATAGCAGGCACAATCTGGTACAAATTGATATGCAAGTACTGCTCTCCTCAGACATGCAAATTGCAAAATTGTTACAACTATAAAGCAAAAGAAAATACTATCGGCAACATTATAAATAAACATTGTCAGTATAATAACTTTTCTAATATGCAATATACTGGTTTATAAACGTCACAGAGTTTAAAAAAATAAAATAAAATAATATTACATGTTTTCAGTTAATAACAAATGGTGTTGTACCGAAGATTACGGCTATTATGCAAAAGATGGCGAAATCATCATCATCGATAAAATAAAGGATCTTATTAAACATGGAATATTCTATCTCGCACCCACAAAAATTGAGAATATGTTACTAAAACATCCAGCAGTATCAGAAGTCGTAGTACTATCTGTGCCATGTTCTACTAATGGTCAAAATCCTATAGCTTATATTAAAACAGAAATCGGAGTAAAGGTTTAAATCTGATTGTTTTTTTTCTATAAAGTCGAATAAACCTTTTTATCGAAAGTTCACATTGTTGTGTCTTAGGTGACAGCATGGGAATTGATGAAATTTGTAGCAGACAATTTGCCTGATATCTACCAACTGCGCGGGGGCCTGCACTTCAAGAGATCCATGTCACATCTTCCCAATGGAAAAATCGATCGAATGCGAGTTACCAGTAGTAGCAACTGACTATCGAGTGATTTATCGTTATAATAATATTATATTTTTTACCTTTTAATTAGTAAAAATGTTTAAGTGGACGATTTTATAAACAAAGTATCAAAAAATCATCAAATATCGTTTTAATGGTAGACTGCAAATGATCAAATGATTTAACTTTTCCTCATTAAAAGAAGATTATTTAACAAAATTGACGTTTATTGTTGTTAAAAATATTTTTCAATTTATTCCTGTGTGTATATGTATACTTTTATAACTATAATGATGCATAAGTATACATATATCACATATAACTTAAATTGAAATTAGAAATCTATTAAAAAACAAATTCAATTCGAAGATAACTAATAATTGTACTATTGGAAAGCCATTCAACTCTCTAAAGTTTTTCGCGAATATCTTCTTTTTTACCAATCATTATTCAATCTTACTCGTAAATTATAAGTGTGTTCTAACATTTAAGGAAAGTTTGATTGAAAATTGGATAAAAAGATCTGCCATTAAAAAAAAATCATTTTGGAATACAATAATGCTGGAATAAATTCTAATAAATAAGGTAAATATGTACCAATTAATGGATATGAATCAATTGTTGGACAAAACATTTATAATATAAAACATTTAATGGTATATACTTTTAATGATAATTTTAAATATAAATAAATTCGCTATTATATTTTTATAAATTTATTTAGAATTGTACATATCATTAAAACTTAATAATTAAAATTTTGTATTACTTTGTCCAACGAATTGAGTCCATTAAATGTCCAGTAACTAGTGCATTTACCTTAGTATAGAAATAATGAAACTCTACAAAAAGTATATTTGTATGTGATATTTTACGATAAAACGAACTGTTAATGATATTATCTTGTAATATTCCGTGATACTAATGTATTTAATTTTAAATAATAAATTTTTCCATTTTGTGTAAGAAATACATTAATAATAAAAAATTTTTAATGCAAATATAATTATTAAACTGTTTTGTGTAACCTGAAAAGCAATAAGCATTTTCAAAAGATTCCATTAATATATGAATCAGCAACGAATATTATCCAATTTATATTATGCAATTAAATTTGAAACTACAGGAAATGAAAAATTCATTGTGTTACGAATTTTTCCTTTTATAAATTTAATTCAATAGAATTCCATTGAATCAAATATTTTAGGATATTTACACAAAATCTTTTTGATACCAAATTACAGTATTATAACGGATTTTGTAACGAATGTCAACAATACTCTAATTATACGAGTATCTAATTGTCTTATTGAAAATTTATACAATAATCGATAAGTCAGTCGAGACAGAAATATGATCTATGTGTGTGTTATAACTTATAATATTTTGACTAAACTCTTAGCGTAAAATTATTAATACATTGCAATCATAAACAAATATTTTATTGATTAATATAATTCAAAACTTAGTCACGTAGCATTCATTAGAATATAGTGTTCTAACATCTGCTTTTAGCAATGAACATCAATGTTATCATCAGCGTGAAGAAATTTACACTCGATCATCGATATGAAATCTATGAAAAAAGATGATAAATAAAATGGAGAGAGAGGTAATAGATATATTATAAAAGATATAAAAAATAATATATATACACATAAAAATGTGGTATAAGATCTATTTCATCACACTTACAAACATACATGTATAGTAGAAGCATTATTTTAACCTTACGTATATCTGTTCAGTATGTTATATATCGAACGATACAATATTCATTTTACTTAAAAAAATAGAAGCAAAGGTAATTGATGGCAACGAAGAGCCGATTCCCCCTAAAAAACATTGGAGATTTGATTTTAAATGCATTTAAAGCCGAATTTTATCGGAGAGCTAACGCTTTCAAACAACGAAAATTATGCTACGTGGATAAAAAACAGACATTCGTTAAATATAAACAACGTCAGAATAAAATATTACTAGATAAAATATACAACATTAATTAATAATAATACGATTCGCAGGTGAATGCGGATACGAAAGAACAACTTACACTTCAACAGATGAGAGAATAGTGTGAAGTGTGCATTATGGCTAAAGAAAGTAGGTGTAAAAAAAGGCGATGTAGTAACAATATGCGTAAAAAAAAATGCGACTCTCACAACTAACACTTCAGTTGTCGGTTTAGTTAGATAAAATGAGTGGACGGGGGCAAATTTGATTATAACACAAATATTTGTTCCTTCTACCAAATATTTATTCGATACGATTTCCTTTAATTGCAATCAATGCGTTACTATGTCACACTCAGCAAACATAATAGTGATTAAAAGAGAGTCGCATTTTTTTTTGGCACATACTGTATATATCGGCGCTATTGTAAATTCGTGGGAGGAAAAGTATTTCAAAGGTAGATTTATCATTTTTTGAAATTTAGCAAATAATTTCTTTTCACTTAATCCCGAAGCTTTCGTATACTACTTTGTATTTCTCTATCGTCTTTACAAAATTTTCCATGCTATATACTACAGATTTTATCGCTGTTACATGTGAAAGTATAGCGTAAACGGTCAAAAACGAACCGTGAATCCAACATAAAGATCTATAGGCCAATTTGATCATGAGACATAGCAAGTGTCTGCCTGTTTGACGGAGATACGAACGCTATGTAAGGAATTTCTAACATCTTCTCACATCTTTATAATAACTCGTTGCAAAAGAAGAAAATGTTCTAATTGCTATATCTCTTATATTGTTGTTCTCGCAAGAAAACGTGTCGATTTCCTCATTTAAAATCATTTTAAGGGAGATAAATTTGGAGATTCAAATAATTTTAAAATTATAAAAGTAATTAAAGTGGTAACCATTGATGAGGTTGAATCTTCATAGCATAGATATAGCAATTAGAACATTTTCATCTCTTGTAATAGATTATTACAAAGATAATAAGGTACAAATGCTGTGTAAGGAATACACCTGGTGTATTCCTTACATAGCATTTCTACCTTACCACCTTAAATTGACACGAAATAGCTTTTTTATAGAAATACTTTTAAATAAATAATTTATTCTTCAAAATTGAAAAACGTGCATTATAAAATTATTATCAATTTTCCGAAAAAAATTTTATTGCAAAAAACGAACATCAAAGATGAGAAAAATGACCATTGATGAACTGATTAAAATAAAATAGCATTAGAATATGATCTTTTATCCAATAAAAATATAATCTTTATGAGATATTACGAAATTTATATATATAATTATTAAAACGCGCAATTTAATCTTTTCGTAAAAATTTCGATTTTTTTATCTCATATTTCCCTATTTACGTAAAACTTATCAGAAAGTACAAAACATCAGCTAATTGATTATATAAAATACACATCATCATTTTTATTTAATTAATATAGTACTGAAATTTACAAGACTGATGTGACAATAACTATTTGAAGCTTTTATTAGTAAAGTGAAAAATATTTGTGATAGGATAATGAATTATGACTGTTAAATTAAATAATATAAATAGATATACAGTTTTTTGCGAATACACACAAATTACTTTCCACTTTTAACGAAGTCAAAATCTCGAAACTGGGATAGTCTTATCGACCAATAAAAAAAATTAATGAATCAGGAACATTTTTTTCTTATGAATAATCCTGTGTACATCTTTGATTTTTTTAAATTCGAGTGATATATAGAGAGACAATATTTTTAAATACAACATAGTTAAAATCGTTTTCATGTTAAATTGAGGTATGAATTTCAATTAATGAGAAAAATTATTAAATTTTAATTGCATACTTATTGTTGTAGTTATGGAAAGAAACATATATGTAAAAATGATGAATAGCATATATTATATACTTAAGTGATTAGTTTAATTTTCTAAACTACGAGTGGCAAGACATAATGAATTAATAGCATAAATCCAGTCTAAACAATTTAGAAAATAAATCGAATACTAAAGATACGGAATATAAAAATAGAAATAAAAATATTGTCATTTAACATCAACTACAAGCGGTTTGATTAAAAAGGACATCTCTAAACAAAACAAATTCGTTTAACTTTTAACCGTTACATCGCAAAGGTACAGAAATAAATATTAGTAGAAATTTAAACTTAGTCTTCGTTGTGACACCACAAGAGCTACTCAACATTCGTGTGATAAAAAGTGCTGTTAATATTATCATTAATTTAAAGAATTAATGGTGATATGGCATCTATGGTAACAGATACATACATAATAAAATCCATAGGTATTAGTAAAAATATAAGTCTTATTAACAACATTATTGTGCATCTTTTAGAAGTCCGACAAAATTGATATATTGTCCGGGACAGAAGAATTGCTTCATAATATAAATATTGGAAATATGATTTTGAAAGCATTCAAATCTAAGCTGGATTTTGTCGGTCAGGTAACAATAAAGCTTATTCTTATATCGTTACGTTAACTGTTTTCATAAATAGTAAAAGGATTAATATCTTATTGATAAGATATATTAATATCAATATATTAATATCTTTAATATTATGCGACTGGTACGTATCATAGATAGATGCAATGACGGAAGAGCAAACTACATATCAGCAGATGTGGGAGAACAGCGTTAAATGTGCATTATGGTTCAAACAATTACGCTGTAGAAAAAACGTAATAGCAATATGCACACGTCATAAAATGCTCGAATATATACCATTTCTAATGAGCATATATGTCGGAGCTACTGTTAATTTATGGAATAAAAAATACATGAAAGGTATTGATCTTTTTCTAAAATTCATAACTTATTTTAACGTTTATATATACGATATATATCTGTGTACCTTTTACTTACTGAATAATAAACCTTTTTAGATAACATACGTATCATGTACTTTCTAATAGAATATGAACCAGATATTATCTTTATCGATAGTGACAATTACGGGCAACTCAATTCGGTTATTCAAAATATAAATCGCGAAAAAAAAAACATAAATCCTCCAAAAATCATAACTTTTGGTAGAATTGAAGGTGTCGACTCTCTTGAATCAATTCTGAACAAAGATTTTGAAAAGAAGAAAATCGATAAATTTTCTTGCGTGAACGTGGAACCAATGGATATTATAGCGATAATGTTTTCTCCCAGTGCAACAAGTTATCCTAATAGTAAAACTTTTATTCGTCGTTTTGCTCTTACATATCCATCGAACCAGGAAGTACCCGTAATGTGTTCCGGTGATATTGGTCTATGGTATGGATCTTTAAGTTGGAGTTACGGTGTGATCTTGACCGTACGTAGTATAATTTCGTATGTGACAGTGGTCAAGTGTTCGAAATGCAGCGATATGTATGAAACGATAGAAAAGTACAAGGTACATAAAAATAATCAAGTCTTGCTTCGAAAATGAACGAAATATGAGATATTTACATATATTTCAGATTTCGTGGGTATTTCTTGAAAGCAAAATGTGCATCCAGTTTCGTACCAATATCCATAAGTATGATATCTCTTCCATAAAGCAATTGGTAATCGATGATTCAACCATGAATTTCATAAATGCTCAAGTAGTGCTCTGCAGTAAATTTATAAACGCTTCTATCGTTCAAGTATACAGTATGTATAATTTTAACGAATTGTTAATGATAGAAAGGTATTATCTGAAATTAATAATCGTTGCATTGATTAGGTATAGCAGAAGCATGCATAATTGCTGCTTTCCAACGGAATAATCGGCGGCTCGGATCTAGCGGTTATGCAGCTAAAAATATTCAATTAAAGCTTCTTGATGTATATTCGCAAGAAATAGTTGATCCTTGCAGAACAGGCACGATTTGGTACAAATTTGTATTTAAGTGGTGCTGTCCTCAGACATGCAAATTGGAAAATTGTTACAACTATCGAGCAAAAGAGAATACTATCGGCAAGATTACAAAAATATTTTGTCAGTATAACAATTTTTCTAATATGTATTATACTGGTTTACAAACGTCACAAAGCTTAACAAAATAAAATAACGTAATATTACATGTTTTTAGTTAGTAAAAGATGGCATTGTTCCGGAGATTACGGTTTTTATAAAAAAGATGGCGAAATCTTCGTTATCGATAAAGTAAAGGATCTTATTAAATATAGAAAATTCCTTCTCTCACCCACAATAATTGAGAATATGTTACTACAACATCCAGTAGTGTCAGAAGTCTCTGTAGGATCTGTGCCAAGTACTATTGATGGTCATCATCCTATAGCTTATGTTAAGAAAAAATGCGGTTTAGAGGTTCAAAGCAGATTGTTTTTTTTCTGTAAAGTCGAATAAACCTTTTTATCGAAAATTCACGTTATTGTGTCTTAGGTGACGGCAAGGGAATTGATGAAATTTGTAGCAGATAATTTGCTTGATGTCTACCAACTGCGCGGGGGCCTGCACTTCAAGAGATCCATGTCATATCTTCCCAATGGAAAAATCGATCGAATGCGAGTTACCAGTAGTAGCAACTGACTATCGAGTGATTTATCGTTACAATAATATTATATTTTTTACCTTTTAATTAGTAAAAATGTTTAAGTGGACGATTTTATATACAAAGTATTAAAAAGAATAATAACATCAAAGTTGAAAGAAGAATATTTTTATTGGAATTAATATTAAATCATTATTTCTGTAAATATTTTTCAATTTATTTCTATATATATATGTATATTTTTATAACTAAAATGATATATAAGTATGCATATATCTGTAACTTAAATTGAAATTAAAAATTTATTGAAACAAATTCAAAGATAACTAATAATTGTATTTTCCGTGTGAGCTATTTAACTTTCTAAAATTTATCTTGCGAAAAATGTTCTTTTTTACCAATCACTATTAACTCTTAACCCATTAAAGACTAATTAAGGATCGCTGATCGATCTTTCGACCAAAAAAAATAGGTCAACTTTGGGTGAAAATTTTTGTATAAGGCTCCTTAAGGGCATAGTAGCATTAAAAGGATTTTAAATTTTGAGAAAAAAAAATTGTCTTGGTCCTTAATGGGTTAAACACCACACTATGGCGCACTTGTGTATGGCATACCCAATTCAATTTTGCTTATAACTTTCATCAAAAATGAACATATTTAGGTATTACAATTTTTTTTTCAATTGAAATGTCAGACCTTAAGACCCGGTTTTTCATTATCTAATTAACTTATGGGTAGGCTTAACCTGATGTTTTATCCAATGGGCTTCATCTATAATGACGTCATGTATGAAGCCTATTAGGTGAAACATTAGGTTAAGCTTAATCACAAATTAACCAGATAATGAAAAATCAGATATAAGGAACATAACGGTATCAAGTATATGTATTTTTATTAATAAAAAAAGTTATGAGCAACGAAAGAAGCATTGAAAAAGCATTGAGAAAAGAAAATTAGAATATGCCACATTTTGCCACACATAGGACAGTATTCATAGACGATTCTTATATTCAAGATCACGTCTTAAGTACAGTCTTAGATGTCACGAACCGACCAGAGGACCGTATTAGTATTAAGACATTACTTAAGATAATTTTGATTAGATAAGAACGGACTATGAATACCAACCAATAGAGTGGTTTTTAAGGATTAAATTTTACTCGTAAATTATAAATGCTTTGAAATTAGAAAGTTCAGCTGAAAATTGTATGAAGAATTTGCCATTAAAAAAAATAATTTTAGAATAAAGTCTAATAAATAGTACAGAAATAATGAAACTCTCTAATAAGCATATTCGTATGTGATATTTTATGATAACGCAAAAATTTTACAATGACGCAAATTTTACGATAACGAGTTTAAATTAATAATATTTATTAATTTGTAAGGCTCCGTGAGATTTAATTAATTTAATTTTAAATAATGGATTTTTTCTGTTTTATGTATAAGAAATATATGAATAATAAAAAATTTTATATCACAAATATAATTACTGAACTATTTTGTGTAACTTAAAAAGTAATAAGCATTTTCAAAAGATTTCATTGATAGGTATACTGTATACGAATACTCAGCAACGAATATCATCGCATCCAATCCATATTATGCAATTAAATTCGAAATTATATAGAAGATAAAAAATTCATTGCGTGTCGCGTTTTCTTTTTATAAATTTACTCCGATAGAATTCCATTAAATCGAATATTCTAGGATATTTACACAAAATCTCTTTGATACCAAATATTATAACGGACGTTGTAACAAATGTTAACATATTCTACTCATATGAACGCTTACGTTGGCTTACTGAAAATTCGTTCAATAAACGATAAGACGGTCAAGACAGAAATGCGACTTACATGTATATTGCAAGTGAAAAAAAATTAAGTCGAACAAAATGGTAAATATATACATCTAATAATAAGTGCGAGATATGTGTGTGTTGCACGATATGTTTTATTCATTATATCTTCATTTTAGAATCGATAAAGTATAAAAAAGAAAGTTTTTCAACTTATATTATTAATAATTTGATATTCATTTCAAAATTTGTCGAGGAGAAGAAATAATTAGTTACTGTACGAATATATTTGCTTAGCAGTAGTTTTGAACTAATATATGTGTATATCAACATATTAAAGTGAATAATAAAAGTTCCAAATTACTCTATTCGATTTTATATATTTTTATCTAGCTTTGTATAGATAGATAAGATAAATGCTCAATACGTTCTAGAGAGTCATAGCTGTAGATATTGATTCATAAAGCGTAAAATTTAAAATAAAAAACAAAGACAGAATAATATGTATGTGATGAGTACATGTAACGGTTTTCTTTCCTTTGTTTTTATATGAGACAAAGATACCTAATAAGAACGGATAACATCGAATAGAGTACACTGAGACAAATCGTTTTGTATATAACGTACAGTCGTGGACAGAACGGTTGCAACACTTTTTTTCAATGGGTTCCGGAACTCAATCTTGCTCGCAGAGTTTGAACGTAAATCGTTAGGTCCATAAATAAGAACCAATCGCTCGGTGATTATATCAAGCTATATTCCGAAACTCATCGAAAAAACGTATTGCAACCGATCTATCCATAATTGTACAATCAAAATTTTGTTGATATGTGACTAAAAAGCTTTCTTACTTTTTCATTAAAAAATTGTTGTCCTGTAAATTTGGAGTAAAATTTGGTTATGCTAATCAAATTTTCAACTGGGACAACAATATTTTTTGTTATTTTAACCAAATTTATCGTTCTAATCAAAATTTGATTAAGATAACCAAATTTTAATTAGGACAACAGAATTTTTTTTACGGAAAAGTAAGGAAGTTTTTGTTAGTAACATAACAAAATTTTGGTTGTACGTACAAAATGATTTCTCTCAGTGTATAGTTTAAAATATTTATTTTTAAAATCTTCGTCAGATTCCCTTAATGCTAAATTGCAATATTAATTTTTCAAGCTCGTTAACGAAGAAAAATACAATAATATAATATGCGCGTAAGTAAATATTTTTGCAAAATTATTTTGATTATTACATTGTTTGTAAAAAATGGATGAAGGGAGAATCACGAAAATATGTCGGCAACGAATCTTTTCACCTCGACGGATGTGAGAGGATCGCGGATATCCGCGCAATGTCACCACGGTGAGGCTATTAATAGTAATCTATCGTCGATCGTAACGTCTCACATTTGCGCGAGTTAAACGCAAATAAAAGATGAAAGACATAGATCAGCGAATGCGCGCGCGCGCAAAAGTAATCACCTGCAATAAATTGCATTCCTCGGCATGTACGTCTGAAAAACGTCATAAAAAACATCCCATCAATCTGCGCTGAACTATATACGATTTACAAGCTTATGAAAGAGTTTCAGACAATTTTCATAAAAAATTTAAAAGATATAAATACAAAACAGTTTCTTTGTATTAGAAAAAAATTAATAAATTAATTATAATTTCTTTTTTTCGCATTGACTTTTTATCGATGTGTAGAAAGTTACAATATTCCTTCTATACACGTTATTTCGACTATCATTAAATTTTTTACGAGTCACATACTACGTAGTGCGATTTATGCGATCTATATGTAGATACTATGTCGATATCAAGGAAATAAGTCAGCGGATCAGGCTTGCCGTCCATTTATGTCCGATGTACGCGCATTGAAACGCTTTACATACATTCGAGTCGAAATTTCGGCCGCCCCCGGGAAAGTTAAGTGCTATCTCGAAGTGACGGCCAGTAATGGAGGCGGATACAATTTTCTTGTGCCTCGAGATTTCATTGAATATGGTACTCACCCTCCGGCCATTCGAACGATAGTCCTCCCGCGCGAGATTCGGAGTATGTAAAATAGGGATCATATACGGGGTGTTCCGTTTCTTTTCCTAAATATAAAAATCTTTAAATGATAAATATAAAATCTTTAAATGCGACTTACAATTAGTCCTATTCGTCTTTCAAATAATTTCGTAATGGCGGAAAAATAGCTTCTTGGAATTTTATTAAAATTTTATTTAAAATTACTTTTTAATTAAAATATACAATAAAATATAAAATTTCTAACATATAACTCTAATATAAGTTTTTTGTATTTAATTATATATAATTCAGATATAAATCTTGAATTAAGATGTAATTTAGAGTCTTGGTGTCTAATTAAAAAATTTTTAAAGTTGGTTAAACAGAATTATATATTAAATAAATTTCAAAGTAGATAAAAAATGATGTATAATACATATCATTTTTTATCTATTTTAAAATTTATAATATATGCATATAATTTTAGATGAATACAAAGAATGCATTCATTTAAAATTATCTGAAAGACAAACTTTTATTACTTCTTTGCATTAATAAGTTTATTTTTCCAAAGTTCTTTTTAATCTTCACTTATTAAAGACTCGTTCAACCGTGATACTTGTATTCACTGTGCACAATTGATAAAATCACTGTAAAAACCGAAATACATTTTGTTAAGGAAGTATTGATTTCACATCAACTGCAGAATCAATGAATCTAGTAGCGTCTTTGCGACACCTCGTATATAAACGACATGCATTTCATAAACCGACGATAACAGTCGCGTCCCTTATAAGTCAATATCGTGACACCAAATTCACTCGATCGTCACAAACTTGCACTATAATGCGACTTGTAAAATGCATGAGAGAAGGCGGTGTCGTTTAAAGTTTAAACGCGCCATCGCAAGTTCTCGCGAGCGATTCAGCAAGCTTGCTACCAAGTTCTAGCTCGGTCTTCTCGCACGGATTTATACTGCGTGTGCAATTCGTTCGCGTGCATCTAAAAACAACAGTCGGCTTTGTTCTGTCTGTCGGTTCTAGGCTGGACTGATACAAGAGAGGAGACGATCACAAAGCCGGACGAGAGCTTTTGGTGTTAACGGCTGACGCGCGAGTTTCATGCGAAAACGAAGTAAACTTTCGCGACCAGCCGACCGGTCATAAATATTCCCGGACAAGATTGCAGCGATAAATTCGCAAACTTTCTCGATCACCAGTGTTTT